CTCTGCCATGCCATGCTGCCCAGTGAAAGCCAGCCTCTGGCTGTACAATAGCTGTGATGCTTCCCTGCTCCACCAGATTTGTTCTTAAGCATCTTCACAAAGCCCCACTGTTGGCCAAGCTCTGCTATTTGCATGCACTGAGGTGCTTGGTCTTCATAGTTCATCACAGCATCAAAAGCTGTTTGCCTTTAAAAGAACTTGTGCTCCAGCAGCATCCAAGTCCTTCCCACTCATGAACTTAATGAGAGAGACCTCCTCCCTGTGTGGGGGACAGGGCTTGTGCTGTGCTCTGCTGCTGCTCCACTGAGCAGCCCTGGCCATCAGCCTTCCTCGAGCTCACTGCTCTCCTCTTGCCTTGCAGTATGCCTGGGTGGAGAAGCACTTTGGCCCCGAGTTTCTGGAGCAGATCGTTTTGACACGAGATAAGACAGTGGTTTCTGCTGACCTGCTTATAGATGACAGACCTGACATAACAGGTAAGGGAGGTGCGGGGTGGCAGGAGTGACCAGAGGCAGCCCTGAGGAGGAGACAGCATCCAGGGGTGTGATGGGTGCTGGTCCCTCCCTGCTTGATGAGGCTCTGGTCAGGGGGTTGTGTCCGCAGGCTCCTTGTGTTGGAGTAAGGTCAAGCTTTGTGTTTCATGGTGGAGCTGTCCAGAGAACCAACCTCTGTCCTTGCTTTGCAGGGGCCGAGCTGAACCCGAGCTGGGAGCACGTGCTCTTCACAGCCTGCCACAACAAGCACCTGCAGCTGAAGCCCCCCAGCCGCAGGCTGCAGTCCTGGACCGATGACTGGAAGGCCATTCTGGACAGCAAACGCCTGCCACCCAGCCAGGCCACCATGGTGGAGCTGTCCAGAGAACCAACCTCTGTCCTTGCTTTGCAGGGGCCGAGCTGAACCCGAGCTGGGAGCACGTGCTCTTCACAGCCTGCCACAACAAGCACCTGCAGCTGAAGCCCCCCAGCCGCAGGCTGCAGTCCTGGACCGATGACTGGAAGGCCATTCTGGACAGCAAACGCCTGCCACCCAGCCAGGCCACCTAAACACCAGCCTGCTGCAGCCACACGGTGCTGCAGCCACTCCTCTTTGAAGGGTGAAACCACTGATGGACAGACAGACAGACACTGTTCCTGCTGCAGAGAGGAAGAGGGGGATGAGCTGTAGCGCCACGGCCACCCGGACCCAGAGAGCAGACCCCAGCCCAGCAGTGCTGCAACAGCAGGAACACCCCTTGGACCCCACAGGAACATATCCCACTGGTTGTTGGGGTCTGTGTGCTGCATCTGCACCCCCTGCAAGGCCAGCCCAGTGTTTCTGATGGACAAGGTCATCCTCAGTGTGTCTGGCATGGCACAGACCAGCTCTCCATCCTCCTCTCTGTGTTACAGTCAGGGATCACACTGGTGGTTTGCTTTGTCCTTCCAGGGCTTCATACCTGGATTTTGGGAGAGGGGTGGCTGGAAGGGCAGGGGGAGCAGGCGGACGCTGCCCAGGCTCCCTGCACCAGCTGAGATGTGCTGTTCCTTGCAGCTGATGCAACAGGACAACTATGTGCTTCCCTGCAGGAAGAGTCCCTGCAGTGTGATAACGGGGACAATACCACTCCTCCATGGATCTGGCCATGGGGAAAGAGCCCTGAGGCATCTTCCAGTTGGTGGGAGGGATCCCTGCTTGCCCTCATCCCTGAGGGACTGCCACAGCTTTAGAGCTGGGGCTTTAAAGCTGATTTGGGATGAAGAGAGGGTCTCTCCTTCCACTGCTCATCGCTCGTGGACCACTTGCCTCTTTGGGACAGTGAGAAGGCAGCTGCAGTGCCAGCATCAGCCCTTCCTGGGAGCTGGGCAGCTCATGGCTCACCCTGACAAGACGTTGATCCGATGGTAGCTCCATGGATTTCAAAGCCAGGAAGGTCTGCACATGCCTGCTGCACGCTCACATCACCCCATGTCCCTCTTCCTGGCAGTGTCTGACACCAGGAAAGCTCTGGATGTGCGTTCACCAGGCACACTGCTTCCATGTAGAATGTCCTGGATGCTGCATCCCACCGTGGTCAGGCACTGGGACGTTAATGCCATGAAGCATCCTAAAGCCTTCAGTGCAGAGCCACTGGGAAGGTGCTGATGGAGGAGCTACAGCATCACTGAGAAGTGGGTAAAGCAGAGGCACCACGGGTGTCCAAATGGCAGGTTGAGGGTTGTGTTGGTGGAGGATTGTCATGGCCACATCCATGGATGCTGTTTCCAGTCATTACCTATCACAAGGGAAGAAGCTGGGAGGCCATCAGAGGTGCCCGTGGAGCTGCAGCATGTACAGTGTGTGTGCCAGGCACACAGCCAGGGGAGCTGCAGCTGGGTGCCAAAAAGGGACTGTTTGGACCAAGGGGCAGCTCCAAGAAGGATGCTTTTTGCACAGCAGTGCCCACAGCTGCTTTCTCCCCTGCCTGGCTCATTCCTGCCTCCCTGAGTCCGCACCAATCCAGCCTTGAACTGCAGTGACCAAGATGGCACCAGCATCACCAGAAAGCAGCCTCCTGGTCCCAGAGAAGAGACATCCCAGCTGCTGGGGAGGGCCGGGTGTCCCATCCCTGTCTGTAGGGCAGAAGACAGCCTGGCTTTTCCGAGTGGGAGCCGGTGCCCCATCGATCCGGCTGCAGGGATGCGCCAGCTGCATCATGGCTCATGTGCATCATGGCTCGTGTGCATCACTGCTGACACTGCAGATCTGGGATCCCACCACGTGCTCCCACTCTCCTCATCCAAGGACTTGCTGGCTGCAGGAGTGAAATTCCCCACTGGGACACGTAGGCCCATGGGCAGGGGCAGTAACGGGCTTGGCTGGGGTTAGCCACCCTGTGCTGCTTGCTCATGCCTTTGGCTTGCCTCTCCTCTCTCTGATAGCCCCCATCAGCAAAAAACTATGTAAGCTTCAAGCTGCATAGCCAACAAATACCTGTTTCGACAGCAGCACCCCGCCCCCCATCACATGCAGGACCCGACGGGCTACTGAAGTTGGTGCTGTTGAACCTGTGCCTTCCCTGGCTGCTGCATGGCCAGGGATGAAGCCTGCATCATCTTGGGTCTTTCTGCTGCCCCATATGTTGGGATGGGGCAAGTGCATGAAGACAGCACAGTTGGCCCATGGTGGTGGGTTACATACCATAAGGATCATCTTCTTTCTTTCTTCTTTCCTTTCTTTCTTTTTTTAAACCACTGTGTGCTTCTCTGGGTGGTGGGTTTGGTTTGGGGGGTGTTTGCAATGTGCTGCCCCAAAAGCAACCAGCTTCCCCCATAGCTCAGGCAGACCCAAGGGACATGGGTCTCCAGGGCCAGCCAGTGTCTTCCCTTTGGTGGCACGTGTGATGCCAGAGGGACCACGTGTGTTCATGCCCAATATACTTGAAAGCAGAGCTGGGGGTTCTCATCCATGAGGCTCCGACTTGATGCACAGAAACCCCAGGCAGGTAGATGGCCTGTTGCTGCTGCCATGTTCAGGACTGGGAGGTGGCTCTCCATTGCCCAAAGGATCAGCCCTTTCAACATCCAAGCCCTTCTGTGGCCAGCCAAGATGTACATAACTTTTGGGTTTAAACGCACATCTATAAAACCAAGGACGATGAAGAGCACTGCAATAAACACTGGGGTTTATCAGCATCCACCTCCCTAGAAATGGAGTTTGGGTTTTGCAGTTTCTCTGCCTTCTGCATAGGGATGGTGGGGGAATGTGTTTGCCTCCAAGCCTCCTTGTCCAGAAAGCCTGGAACCAGTCCTGCTGTGCTATTACCCCAGTAGACGGAGTCCCTGTTGGCAGAACTAAGCCCAAGGGGTGGTTTTAGGTAGCGATCAGCTTCCTAAAGATGTTTTATAATAAATAAAGCTGTAAAGTGTGTCTTGTCTTGTGCCAGAAGCTCTAAAAGGGGCTGGAGCTGCCATGGGCTGGCTCTGCCAGGCGGTGGCACTGGGACCAGGGCCATGTTTCCCGGTAAAAGATGGAACAAGGTGGAGGGACCGCATCCCTCCGAGGGAGCACCAGGACCCTGTGATGCACAGCTAAGCTGTGGGTCTGCAGCTGCTCCTCCGTGCTCTCCTGTGTGCCTTTTCCTTCTCCCTTGCAAAGCCTCAGGATACCACATACCTTCCAGGTGATAAGCACAGTTTGAAGGCAAGCAGAGGTGGAAAGCAGCGGGAAGGAGGTGGTGGTGACCTGGTCCTGCACACAGCAGAGCGCTCCAGGCTGGTGCTGATGGGATCCCTCACATCCCAGGAATGTGCGAGCACCCAATCCTTAGGGAATTCACCCCAAGAGTGGCCCATTTCACCTCAGTCCGAGCTTGCAGGACCCAACAGGGTGGGATCAAGTGATGCTCATGCCTGGATCCCTCTGAAGCTGCTACCACACAGGTGTTCACCAGCTCTTGAGATGCCCAAATAGCTCCAAGCTGGTGTGAAGCCTGAAGAAGGGGGAAACCAAGGGCTGCAGGGTCCAGCCCTGATGCAGGGGCAGTGGGTTGTGTGGGATGGAACCAAGGAAGGGGATGGTGGGAGATAGAGTCACCCAAATACACAGATGGAGATGGAGCAGCAGCAGAGATGGCTCAGCCCGTGATGGTGGCCGGATCCAGCTTTGCTTCTGCAGGGGCACCATGCCCAGTTCCAGGAGAGGAGCAGGATGGTGCCCTGGGATCCCTGCTTGGGGTCAGGCTCTGGAGCCCGGCACTTGCCCGTGCATGGAGAGCAGGAGAGCCGTGTGATGCAGGAGAAACATCCACTAGAGGGGACTCTGCGATCGCATGTAGGAGCGCGCAGCTGCCAAAGGGACCGCAGAGCAGGATTTGGCTCCTCTGGCTGTAAAAAGCCATCCTCCCTCCAGCCCTCAGCCCTCCCCGTTATCCCAGTCCAGGCTCCCAATGCTCTCTGCATCCCTCCTGCTGGGCACTGCAGCCAGGGGGGTAGATCACCCGGGCAAACAGAGGACTATGGGGTACTGAGAACAGGCGCTGGGCTGGCCCCAGCCGCAGCAGAGCCCATTCCCAGCCACTCGCTGCCCCCCAGCAGGATGGGGCAGAGGATGAGATGGGCATAAGCACGAAAAGCTTGTGGGTTAGAAGAGGAATGAGGGGTTTAAAGGCTCCATATAGAAAATGCCCCCAACAGCTCAGAGCATCCCCCCAGTCTCCTCCATGCCTCTTGGTCCCTGCTTTCCCCTCCATGACCCCACAATTCTCCCAGGGCTGAGATTGTTCATCCTGTCCCTGCAAGCCCCAAATCCCCCAAGGATCCGGGCTGTTCCTTGGCTTTTTCCTCCTGCTCACCCTGAAGCCAGAGCCTGTTGTGGGGGGCAGAGCCTCATGTGCCAGCGAAAGGCAGAACCAGGGTGGTTTCTTCTCGCCCTCTCCTTCTCCCCCAGCACCACGATATCATTTCCCTCCTGGTAGGATTAATGAGCTTTGCTGCTCTATTTGTACACACGGACTTAAGTAACACGCTCCCCAGAGGGGAATAAAGCTTCCCTTGCCCCAGCAGTGCTGGGGAGGCCAGATCAGAGCCCACAGGGATAGGCTGCATCAGCTTTCCTCATGTCCTTCAGGGCTCCACACACATTAAGCCCATTCTCCTGGCAAACATCCTGCAAAGTGTTTGTTTGTGACCGTGTTATAACAAACATTTGTGGAACATGGTGTGTTTTAGGCATGAGCGATGCCACCTCCTCCCCCCTGCCCCACGGGCAATGCAGGGCTTAAAGCTGCCAAACCCTGGCTGCTGATGCTGCATTTGTGAGGACCACGGGGACCCACATCCCAGAGCATGAGACCACATCGCCCCCTGTTCCCACCAACCACCAAACCT